TATATATATGGCAACGGGCAATTTGATTTCCTGCCATTGAAGTATCAAATGGTCATTATAGATGCACAAATATCTATATAGTTGTTAGTTTCAACATATTCTCAATCATTCTCTAGATTTCCTTTTGAACAATGCTGTCATATAGATATTGCATGTTTGATTGAAATAAATATGTATATCTAACGGTTAAACATTTTCCTTGTAGAAAATCACTACGTTTACAAAATTAAAATGGAAGAACTTAATAATACAAACTGACAGATAAATCGCATAAACAATTAACCTCTTCTCCCAGTAATTGAATCGATAAACCCAAACGCCGATTAAAAACCCGCACCCTCAATTACGGAAATAGTGCGGTAGTAGATCATACTAAATAAGCTGCAACTTCTGCATATTTGATTTTTCGACTATACTTTTAAAATGTGGTTATTAACGCATTACAGCTAACACTCCTAAGCAGTCAAGACTCAAAATATTTTAGAACACTTACTTTCAAGAGCTCTCATATCAGTCACATTATATCAACAAACAGCCGCTGGCAATGGAAACTCATGGAATACTCTGACCTTATACGTAAAATGATTTCCATGAAGCTTTCCCTTTTGTTAAGGCGCAAACGCAATTTTTCAATAGATATCTGACTGGAAACCTACTCTATCCAGGCATGCGCCAGGATTGGGAAAGTTTTTCACGTGGACATCGGGGAGCGTTTCAGGGAATGCTGGATCATTAAAGTCCAAAACAATAGGAATTTTATTTTCTAAACGGTCCAAATTCATCTTTAGAAGAGTCAGCATTCTATTACTATGTGGTCAATTGTATCTCATTACTTTACCAACACCCCCAACTAACACCCTTTATCATGGAGGCCCATTGCATAATTTCAGTCCTTAGTTGGTTCTCGTAACCGCAGCAAAATCGATATACACAGTGGGTCAACAGTTGTCCACTTTTTATTCAGTATGTAGGTCAAATTCTTCCAACAAAATAATTACTTTTTTTATTGTTATCGCTACATAACATACTTCTTAAAGACATAATCTTAAAACCCAATAATTTATCTCAAAATCATTTAATATATTATATCAGTTTTATATTGCGTGCGTTCTTCAATAGATCATTCAAAATTATGGAAGGTTTATTTTTATTTGATAGATCATACCAAAATATGCATTACAGAAATAATTTTGTCCCAGTTTTTTTAGTTGGTTTCTGATAATAACTGTGAGTCTGTATTTTAAACTATATTTAGTAAATATTTAAATAATTTTAGTGACTCAAACTAAACTATGCGTCGATATAAAACTACTTGATAAAACTACTGATATACAACACTTGAAAACTCTTGAAAAACTAGTAATTTTGTGACATTCGCTTAACTTAAATAGCATTTAAAATTAGCAACAGTCGCACTACATAATGTGACTGAATAGCAGTCGAAAGCTAGTAGTCCAAAGCGTAGCTGGGTTTATGTCGACTAACGATAATTTTTCAATTTTCATAAACAACAAAAGACTGAATTTCTACTACTGTCCCCCCCACCCCTCGAAAGCTGGTTCGCCCCTGAAGTTATGATGCATTCATGTGCCACTGTTGTGTTAGCGGATTTGTATTTTATATATAAGTGAAGAATTACACTCCTTAAGTCAATTGTGCGTCTGATTTTTAATCTCTTTTGGGCTGAACTCCACATGGGGAACAATGTATATTGGCACATGTATATTGGCTTGATGTTTTACATATCCGAATATTTTTTGCGTGTAGTTGCGTGTTAATTTTGCCTTGTAGGATTTCCCGTAGCAGCCCGTATCTATTTGGGGTCCTCATTGTGTAACTGAAATACTAAAGTTTCCGACATTCTACAGTATCTTACCGTTCTGGTTCTTTTTTCATCCGTCGCATAACTTGTTGGTAATTTTTTGTGTCGAAAATATTGCCAATATTCTCCTGTACAGCCAAAGTTCGAGCGCTTCAATTCTCCTGGCAGTCTCTTTAGTGAGTAGCCATTTTGCCACGCCATTTAGAAGGACCGAGAAAACGTAACAACGCAAAGGTCTAAGCTTCATGTCTAAGCATAGATTATGGCTTTAAAAAATGCGAGCTCGTCTTAATGAACAGATTGTCCCATCTCTCGTTAATGATTGGCTCCAAGTATGTGTACTGTCTTACTCTTTGTATTCTACTGTTATTGATGTAAAAACTGTCTTCCGTGATGTTCCTTTTTCTTACTATGAGCAGTTTGGTTTTGTTTGCGTTCATTCCCAAGCCGTACTGTGAGCTAATTCCAGTCACCCTCTCCTTCAAACTCTGTACTGCTTGAGGATTATCTGAAAACATTATGATATCATTTGCATATCTTACCTTATTAAGTTTAGTACCGGTCTATGGTCCATGTTAAGAGCTAAATGCATGTGGTTATCCGTAGAAATATTGTTGATAGATATGAGAAAAAGCTCAATAAAGACCTGCTGATTACTTTTATCAAAATCGCAATTAGCTAGGTTTTCGTAAATTTGAATCTGTAAGTACTGAGACAGTTGTCGAGTCTTCTGTAGTTAGCCTTACAGCTCGTTCACTCGGTGACATTAATGTCGTGTCATCTAATGCCGTGACGGTATTCAGTGATACACCAGTATACGATGTCGTATACCAAACTATTTTGATGTGACACTAATGTCGCGATACTGTGACCTTCAATTGTTCAGACAATGCCACTGTTGTGGATGGCAATAGATGTCACGACATTAATGTCACCGTATGAACGAGCTCTTCAGGCTTGTTCAGACGGTGACATCTAATTTTGTGACAGCTTTCGACATTCGATATCATGGTGCTAGGTGTTCACGCTCACCAACCCATACTGTCGCGACAGAAGACTCTTGTCAAGATGGCGAAACTCCTATCTGCAGTAGCGGATGTGTAAGAAACTCGAACATCGAATTTTTTACTTTTCAAAATTCATTATTATTCGTGCCGCGAACGAATCTTATTATAGCTCTTAGCGTTTTAAAAGTTAAAAATATTTAGAAGCGCTTCTTCTGCTTGGTTACGTTTTTGTCTATCTATTTGTTTATAATCGGCAACTGATTTATCCCATAGACATGGATGTGATTGGTAATATCCCAGAATTGTAATCAAGTCAAAAGGAAACATGATTTCAATTCAAAGGAAATGAAAATATAGCGCCAAAGATTGATAACCTTAAGAAATGCCAAAATATTACCGAGACATCGGCAGTGTCATGGTGACATACGGTGCCGTATATCAAACAATTTTGATATGTGACACTAACGTCACGACACTATGACACAAAACATTTCGGGTGTTCAGACATTGACATTGTTGTAGAATTCACGTCAAGCTTTTACAGTTTTCCCCAAGGCACACTGTTCTTTAATTAGTGTGTGATTATCTACTATCCAGAAGGTCCAGATGTCTAAGTACCTATTCTCGTTGCTGATATAATGAAACTAATCTTGGATTCTTTCGCAATTTTCATTATTTTTGTATTCATGCGATTTTCATCTTACTAGGCAGTACCAATCGATAGATCATAATAGTTCACTTTAAAAAAATAATTCTCAAGTAGGTTTTTCTTCGTCTTCTTCTTTAATAGGACCTAGACCTGTTTAGTTCGTTGCGTTTAGTCTCTTTCGGGACTCTTCCTGTGATGCTGAGTCACAGCTGTCATACCATCTTTTAGGTTGTATTCCTACCGACCTTCGCGAGATTTATTTTAATCAGACACAAGAAATAATTTGTCTCTTGTTATCCCTTGTCTCTGGTTTTAATGATTTGATCCACTTTGTCCATTTTTTAAATGGCATTCTCTCCACATTGTCTGTTCAGCTGCTCTTGCGTGTTCCTGATGTTCCAACTCCTTATTCTGTCCCTGGGGGTAACGCGCTTGATGGTTTTCATTATTTTAATTTCAGTCGTTCAGAATATTTTTGTCGTTGTTGATATATCAGCTCTGAATTCTGGGGAGTACGTTAAAATAGGTCGTAAAGTGGGTTTAGACGCTCAAGCCATCTGCACGAACTGGCTGCTTGCCCAAGCCAGATTTCAGCAAATGTACTGATAGAAAATCTTGCGTTTGCACGCTCATTTCGTTCGCAGAGGAAAAATAAAAATTGTATTTGTTGTCAACAAGATACAAAATTTGGGTGAGAACTAACTGGACTGTTTTGCACATTTTGTGTTGTTGAAGAATGAGTATGAGACGCTTTCAATTGCAACAGCACTATTTCTTTATTGAATGTGTTTCACACAAATTGTATGTAACTGAAGCGTAAGCGCGCTTATCTAAATATAGACTAAATTTTTTCCAAAAAGTAGGTAATATTTTGGTAGAATTTTGCTAGTTGTAATTCAGATGGTCTTATTACGTCATCCCCTTATGCAGTTAAACTTTTTTAAATTTTGCTTGGTTTAATTTTTTCTATAACAAATTAATAATTATTATTAAGTGTTTTTGCGATGAGATGGTGGTTTGTTATATTCTGATTCCATAATTAGCTTGATAGTGATCTGTCGATCTGCCTGCTACTAACACGATATAAACAAATGAGCCCCTTGAAATAAACTACAAATATAAAAAATATACTTTATTGTTTACCTCAGAACAAGCAGATCATACTATCGTTAATTACCCGGTGCTTTCGAAAGCAATATTTTAAGTTTAATATTAAATGTAGTCTAGTTCCTAGTGCTTCTTTGGTAAGAGCTACTGCAATACTAGTTAATTTTGACTAACACCTAATATCGACAATTTATGCAGCGTTTAAGTGAAAGTGATTACATTTTCTCTCATAGACCGGCTCATTTTTACAAATGTTTCAGTCTGAACTTTAAACTATAATATGCCAACAGTCGAAACAAAATAAAATATCCAGTGATCCATCCAACATCCACCCAATATGGCAATTTATCCATGCCAAGTTCGGTAAGAAATTGCTTTGGACTTGTGTACAAGCAAAATATTTCATCTTCTGGACAAACCAGTTTTTCCCGATTGTAACCATAGACAGCCTGCAAAAGTCCTTCCATTGAAAAACTGAAGTAGGACAAGTTGGAAGCGTAATAGAACACAGTGTTCATATGAGGGAAAAAGCAGAGAAATCCTGCAACACTAAGCATAGTGACTGTTGAAATTGCTCCTATAAAAGTTCCATTCTACAAAAAAAACATGTGCATTAATTTAAGTTAAATGTTTATAAATTAAAATAATTCTAACCACAGGATTAACTAACGATCCAAACATTATGCCCATCCCAGAAGCTACAAGACCGATAAGGCTATGAATAAGTAAAACCATGAAAAATCTCCTAAATTCCAGAGGTTGTGATGTTGCTACGTAGGCGCTTGTCGTATAAGATACAGCAAGTAAAACCTGCAAAAAATATCAGTAAGCTTCATGTCAAAAAATTTCTGTAGCGATAATTTGACGATAAAATACTATTGTTTACCTGCATAGGTAAATCAGCTGCCAGAAAGGCGGCATAGAACGTTCTCAGTTTGTACCATCTGTTGAAATGTTCTTTTTTGATTATCTTCAGTTCTTGTGGGACTAGAATATCAAATGAGTTATTGGGTTTACTTTATGATGATTATTAGTAAGATAGGAGCAAAACTCCATTTAAATCAAATACTTTTCAGTGCCTGCTTTTGGGTTTAATATTTGTGGTCTATTGTTTGGGCTAATGATAAATGTTTCGCGTGCTTAGAGCATCCAATGAAATGATTGCTCTTTTTCCTGTGTTCTTGATTCAATGAATTTCTATTCTAAAAGCATATCGACAAAAATATAGGATTATCTTAAATGTGACCTACTGTTTTCAAGTGGCAAGCAAAAATTTAACTTGCTATTAATTTTCGAATTGTGTAAAAAACTGAACTATTACTTCAGAAACCGGAGGAACTATGCCCGACTATTCTTAGAACAAGTCAGTATTGCTTTCCCAACACCCTCTACCACAAAAAAGAACAGAAATTTTGAATTTTAAAACACGTATGATTTTGAAACCATTGAAACCCAGCAGACATTGGTGTGATTTATTAGTGAATGCTCTGAGTTAAAGATTCGGAATTAAAAATATGTAGGACAGAGTCAGAAGATTTTAACCAAAGAAGTAGTGTGCTGCTCAAAATATTTTCGTTTATTTGTAATATGCACTTTTACAGTTATCCCGCTAGATGAAACACATTACGTTTTATCCTTATTTACTCCGAACTTCCCGCCACGTGTTCTAATATGTTTACTGTTTTTCCCAAGCTTTGCTGTGACCTTTCAGAAATATTCCGTTAATTTTTAACTAAAGTTAAAACAGTTTTAACATAATGGCTGAACATAGCATTTTATGTACTGCACAAAGCAAGTTTCTTGTTGGCTCTTACACCGGGTTTTCGACGACGATTTTTAAACATATGTTTTCTGGCAGCGGAAGCGAAGTTCAGACATATTATTATAAATTGATCTATCAGGTAAATCGGCGAAGTTAACGTCATGTAAATTGAGCAAAATGAAAATAAAGTTGAAATGTCAGGAACGCCAGCATAGACCAATAATAAATACCCTGATACGCCACCCTCAAGATTATTATCACTACCTTCAAATGTGTTGATGGAGATAAATATACCTATTTCGATAAGTTGCGCTTTTTCATATCTATTTTTTAATGGTTTTGAACATATTTTATCAATCATCGAAGTACATACAATTCATTATTCATAAATATTTTAGCCGAACTTTTTATGAAGAATATCTTTTCGTGTTGAATTAATTTTTAAAAACTTTTCCAAACTTATTTCATTCTTACAGGGACATATTGTGTATTAATTATTTTATATATTGTGCCTTTTTAAGAGCAAAAAATGACACACTATAGCGATTAGTTGACTAATCTAACTTTATCAATATATGGAAGTTTCGGAAAGTTGTTGACATTGTTCTTCGGTTAAATGTTACTAAGCTTAGCGACCTTCACTAAATTTCCATCTGTACATTTCTCATCCCTAAAGCAATAAAATAGATGGTCGTTAATATCATCCTGTGTTGATTTATGTTGAATAATATTTACCACAGATGCGAACAGAAATCTTAACTGACCAGGCTCAACAACAAAGCGGTATTTCAAAAATAACCGCTAGTCAAAACCTACTTTTCTAATCTAAATGTGTCATCAAATGTAGTAGGAAATACTTACACCTTAAGGCTGCAGGCATTAGCGAAGTGTAGCACAAATAGACAACGCCGGTAATAAAAAATGAAAAATTTTGAAGCGTTTTAGATGCGTCATTGCCGCAGTTTTGGAATGTTACCCCCAGGAATATGCCTACTAAGAAGTGAACTACTAATTTTAATTTGGCTACCGTCTGAAAAACAAAAACGTATTAATCAAGTAATTATCAGTATAAGTACAAAATTATAGTACAATTTTCAAATGCAACAATTTCGTTTATTACTTATCAAATGATTGATGAGACTAGTTCAGCATTCAATTAGCGTCAATTAAAAAAGCATCCTAAAAAAGCTGCAAGTAAAGAGATTGACTGAAATTCTAAAGAATTCTCTTGGGATATAAATTTCAATTGCCCAGAAATAGTAGATTATTTGAGAAGAGTTGTGAAGGAGTAATGTATGCTAAAATTAATGATTTTGGACAATATTGTCCAATCATAAATGCTTACCCAGTCTCTATATTGATGGATAAATTGCTTCTTTAGTAGCACCTTAAATACCTTCCATTGAGACTGTGGCCTTTTAGATCTATCTACATCTGGATAATCATAACTATCACTTTGCCTTTTTATGTCCACTTCTTTTTCACTCACTTTATCTGAAACATATGTCGAATTAGTATTTATTATATACCGATTATAGACTCCTCTAAACAGGAAATTACCGTTTTCTGAATTAATACTAGATCTCCAGTTAGTTTCTGTGGCTGCTATGGCAAATTTATCGATATCCTGAGTACTGGCATCGCTGGTCACTTCCAGCACTAAAAAAAATTATTTTTAGGAAAATTCTGCAAAAATTATTGAGTTATAGAATTAGTTTGAGGGATTTATGCAATATTTTACAAAACGTAAAACCGTTGCCCTTGAACTCATACCTAGTTAATACTATAACAAAGAAAAGCATTGGCTAACCCGCATTTTTTATCAATCTATGTGGCAAGCAAATATCCATTACAACATGCACTCAAGACAATATTGGCACATATTTAATATTCGTAGGTACCTTCCAAAGACTGATGAACTATACAATTTGTGCATCAATATTTGCTAATTAGCATGTTGCGAAAATGTCCTAACCCGTATAACATTGTACTAGTAATTATTAGCTGAAGTTCGGCAACAATAATATTAGCTTAAGAATTTGTTCATCAAAGGTTCGGAGATGGCCTTTAATAATGTGATGACAACCTTCTTACAATGCTATTGTAATGTGAGAATAAAATTTTATTTCCTTGAGCTATAACAGATTTAAGTAGAATTTCCATTTACTAAAACATTTTCAAGTTCTGCCAGGTTATATCAAATTTAACAAAAAAAATAAGTAATTAAAGCTAGAAGGAAAGTATATTATTTATCCACAACCGAATCCTGAGCCAACTATAAATGACTAATTTCTCCGAGTAATACGTGCAAATTACTTACAGAAATCAGCTGGATTGTGATATTTAGGACAAATATAGCCATGTAAAGCAAGATAGGGCACCGTATTTTCCGGGGCCCCTTGGTATACACACTTTCCTTTTGCCATAATATAAACATGACTAAACAGGTGGTACATGGAGGCACTGGGTTGATGTATAGTACAAACTATCGTCCGACCTCGTTCTGCTAAAGTTTTCAACATTTGGACACATTGATTGGACGAGCTACTATCCAAGCCTCTGAAATATAAAAAGCATATGAAGAATTTAAATAATTGATTTGATTGTTACACTCGTACGTTGTAGGTTCATCCAAGAACAAAATTGGTGGATCATCAATAAGTTCCAAAGCTATTGATAACCGTTTTCTTTGACCACCAGATAAGTTTCCACATCGAATATTTTTTGTCTTTTCTAGTCCTAAAGTAGTCAATATGGAATCTATCTAAAAATACATATGCACTTTAATAAGCAACTTTGCAAATAACTTTTCCTTCGTTCAGTTCATACTAAGATGCACAGTTCTTTGTAAGTTTCAGTTTTTCAACTTTTTTCCAATTGCTTCAAAATTGTAAAACTACTCACCAAAAGATCATTTTTCTCTTTTGACTGTTCACTAATCTTTAATTGAGTTGTTGAATACATTATTTCGTAAACTGTGAAATATGCAATAAGATGATCATCTTGCAGAATGTAACAGGAATCGTTTTTGTACTGACTAGAACCGGTTTTGGTTTTCTTCCCATTTTTGCATTTGATCACCCCTTCGACGCCTGATTTTCTGAAACGTATCGAAAGAAATAAATACCTATTTTGGAAAATTTATTTAGGTTGAACAATGCCATAATATTTTTCATACTTATTGTTTACTCGTCATTTGAAAATGCTTTTCGATATTTTCATGAATGTATATGAGGTATTGTATTTAAAATTGCAACTTAGAATACAAATTAACATTCATGCCGATCCTTACTTTATTTGTGCTAGGTTGCAAGTCTCGTTGAACAGTTAAACTTTGAATTAACAACTTTGAACAGTTAAACTTTAATATTGAAAGTATATAGATAAATGAGGCTTGAAGCAAAACTTGAGTGTAATTTTTGTATATACATTCACAGTTTTCAAGTATTTTGCTGGTACAGTTTGCAAATGTTCTTACTCGATAGGAAAAGTTGATGTAGTGATTTCAGACGACGGGTTATTACTTTTATTGATGACAAAACATTTTAAGAACCAATTTTTGTTCTGTTAATACGTACATAGTTTTATTAATACACTTCGTTTTTTATTATTGACTACAGAATTAATACGATTTGCTCAAAGACCAACTTCTCAGACGTTTCGACAAGAAGAATCTTTTAACAGCTCTTAACAGCCAGAACTTAATTTAAATTTGGTATTTATACAGGGTGTCGCAATAAGGATGGTAAGCGGCGCTGTATCTTGGAAAGTATGTGTTGTAGAGTGATAGAAAAAAAAATTGATAAAAAACTTGACGAAAAGAATTTGCTGGAAATTATTTTGAAATTTCTCAGATGGCCACTAGATGGCGTAATTGCAAACGGTATTTTAAAAAGTCGATTTTATACAGAAATTGTCCTTATAAGTGAAACATCTAGTAAGTTTAGTCAAAAGATCATAAAAAACCGTACTACTTTGCTTATGAACTTTTTTCTTAACTTGTCAAATAAAGCGCGGGGATAAAAATGAAATGAAAATAATAAAGGTTGTCTAATTCAAACAATTAAAATAGGCTTTGGAAGAAAAAATGCTGTTTTATTTTACCCACTATTTTTAAACTTACTAGATGTTTCACTTATAGGGACAATTCCTACTTTAATTATTTGAATTAGGGAACCCTAATTATTTACAAGTATTAAGTCGGTTCGAGAAATTGTTTTGCTTTCGAATGCGTGTAACATAATTTGATGGTAGCATTTGGTAAAAACTTTGAAATCGGTAAAGCCGTTTTGGAGTTACAGGTTTCTTTAAATTAAGCGGTTTGACTCTCCCCCTACGCTTTATTTGACAAGTTAAGAAAAAAGTTCATAAGAAAAGTAGTACGGTTTATTATGATCTTTTGACTAAACTTACTAGATGTTTCACTTATAGAGACAAGTTCTGTATAAAATCGACTTTTTAAATACCGTTTGCTATTACGCCATCTAGTGGTCATCTGAGAAATTTCAAAACAATTTCCAGCAAATTATTTTCGTCAAGTTTTTTATCAATTTTTTTTCGATCACTCTACAACACATACTTTCCAAGATACAGCCGTTTACCATCCTTATTGCGACACCCTGTATACAGCTTTCTAATCAGATAACTAAAGTCAGATTATTGAGTTCCATGAGTCAAGAAATAACAAGAGCTACAAATATAAGTAAATTAAAAAAACGAATTAATAAATAATCCGTTATCACCTATTGTTTTAAGTACCATACCTAATAGAGATTCATTTCACCTAAAAGCGAAAGTTTTTTTAATACATAAAAACCAGTCGGTAATCATATTAACATTGCAATGTTAATATGAGTTTTATTGAGAAGTTAAAAACAGTTTTCTCGGAAAAGTTCGATATTAAAATGACTTAAAAAGGCATCGCAGACTTGGTTGTTCGTAGCACGAGTCCATATACAAGGTTATTCAGGTTATACGGCATGAAAGATTGTGTCTTTTTAACTTTCAGAGATTATCATTTAATGGATAAACGGGGACCTACCAAGGTCTTACATTTAAAAATGTTTTGTGATGTACATATTGTACATGATGTTTCAATTACTAGAGTTAACCCATTGTTGTATTTTTTTAATTGAATAATTTGCATATTATTATGCTCTTATTGTCTATTATAAAAATAAAATAAATTATATTAAGGTTATTAGAGACAACCATGGGGATTATTGTTAAATGCCTAATTCTCAAGATATATTCCGAGTTTTCACGTCAAATTTTGGTCAAAATTACCTAATACAACTCAGACTGATAGATGCTGCTTATTTTGTATATATTTTTGCAATATCGTATTCAAATAATAGCATTTAACTCAATAGGTAATCAAAATTTCATCTGTTAGCATCTTAACGTAAAAGACCGTGTATTTTTTAAATTAAATTAGACAATTTATTACCTTTTAAAACGAGCAACTGTTTCAACTCGTTTTTTTGGGACACTCTCTATGTATTAGTCGATTTTTTATTTATTTGTTATAAAACTGCACTTGAGTAGTAACGTAAGGTATGATTTTTAAAAACAGTACAATTTTCAAACTTTTCAGTTTCAAAATTCTTAAGATATTTTTCTGCTATTTATTCTGAATAGATCTGTATATGAAAGTTATTATTTGTATAACTTAGCTGCAGTCCAAATTTAAATAAAATATCTGAAAACTATAGTGTTCGCCAATCTACCTTTAAGCAAAATATATAGGCAGATATACATATTGCTATAATGAAACATCACGCAGTTATTAACACTAAATTTATCCAAATTACATTTGAATTTACAACTAGGCATTAAGAAATAATTATCCTTTAGAATAACATTTTAAAAACTAAACTTTTCCTTAACTAAAAGGTAGTTTTTAAGAAATTAATCGTCATAAATTGGAAAACATCACATATTTACATGTCATGTATCTCTCGTTAATTACAATCATTGAAAATAGTAATACAAGCTTCCTACTTGCCTAGAGCAATTAGCAAATTGTATCGTATAATCTTATTGGTTCTAAAACCTCGGTAAAATTACTTACTGGTAACCTGTGAGAATGTTAAGTAGAGATGTTTTGCCAGCGCCTGATGGGCCCATAATAGCCGTAAGTTCACCAGACTTAAAAGTCCCGGTGACACCTCGAATTATTTTTTTGCATTCTGGAAAAAAGTACATTATATAAATTGTTAATAAAATATTTGTTTGGTTCTATTTCAATGCGATCTTGTATAATGCAAATATACATAACTTGCTTCAACATGGTTCAGAATAACGTTTTGGATGATGTTGGAGAATAATTTCGTTTCACAGACTGTTGAGCGACGGATTAGTACTATGTAATAACATTATCAAAATAACGATATTAAAAACATGGCATGAAAGTATAGGGAAGCGAAATGTAAATATTCTGCGAAAACCATTCATTAACTCCCATCGAAAAAGTCCGACTCAGAACGGGTGCTGGATGTCTAATTGTAAGATAATCTATGTAAAGAGCTTCTCAGGTAAACAGGTTCGGGGGATTTGTTGTGAATGCATGCTGAAATATTTTAAGTAATTTCTGTACAGATGGCAACGAATTGATGTAAAATCGACATTTAAGAATGACAATTATGTACAATTATTACGTGACGCTCAGGATCGGCCGCCATTTATGAACATCTGTATCATTCGTGATCATTACGAGATAATTTATCCTCTTTTCAAATGTATTCGAGTCAAAGGCTTTTGAGAAGCCAAGCACGCGGCTGCCGAGTCTCTTCTTACTTACACAACAATTTTTCATTTGTTCGATAAACTGCTCTGATTGTACTTTGCCCCTTTCCGATACCTATTTGTTCAGTTCTCGATATTTTTTGGAATTTCGGAAACTTATCTATATTTGAACCTATTCGGTATATCATCATTGGCTACCTATCGACTGCTAGACAAAAATTGTTAGTTAGGTCAATTTGACAAAGAATCCTGTATTTGTGATATTTTTTCATCAATTTTAGCTGATATTGAATTACATATGGGCAGATGTTGATAAGAAAGTGATTTGCTTTGTCAGCCAATACATGTTTCCACAACCAATATGCATCGAATTTTAATAACAGATTCGAAGCTTCATGAGTACAAAGTTGAATTGCCTCAAGAGCTAAAGCCGGAAGATCGAACAACGAAAATTGGACGGTGATTTTGACGTGGTCCATTTTCATCTTGATGGCTTCGTTAGTCGACAAAATTGTCGCATTTAGGATTCCGAAAATTCACGAGTGATCGTTCAGAAATCAGATGCATCCAAAAGGAGTCACTGTTTGGTGTCCATTGTCGGCTGTAGAAATCATCGGGCCATTTTTCTTCGAAAATGCAGTTGGTCAAGCATTAACCGTGAGTGGTGTTTGTTATCGTAAAATCTTAACTAACTTTTTTGTGCCAAAATTGAAAACCATGGATCTCAACAGCATGTGGTTTCAACAGGACGGTGCAACATGCGATACAGCCAGAGAAACTGTTGAATTACTGCACGACTCATTCCCTGGTCGTGTTATTTCTCGTTTTGGAGATAGCCAACTTTTTTCTTTGGGTTTTTTTTAAGTCACAAGTTTATGTGAACAAACCAACAACGATTGAAGCCTTAAAATATGAAATTCAACTCTATATCTCTGAAATACCGCAAAATTTAAGCGTAACAGTCCTTGAAAATTTCATGAAGAGTCAAGAGCACGACTGTGCCAGGAAAGTCGAGGCGGTCATTGGTCCGATGTCTTATTCCATTCATAAGCTCATGGTGTGTACTTCATTTTTCAATAAACGTTTCAAACGTATGCCACAAATATGTTTTACACCTTTTAGAACATGCGAGTTAGCAAAACTAAGCGCAAATCCAGTTTTTGTCTGCAATAAGCCAACCACATCATTCGTAAACCCTGTTCGATTGTATGTGGATGAAGTAGTGTGAATGAAGAATGCATGACTTCTAGAGACAAGAAACTAGATTTTCTTCCTGTTATTCAACGATTTTAAATGTGTAACCTACTCTTCTAATCATCTGTATTACAAGGAGACCCAATACAATTGCTTTTGTGTAAACACTAACCTGAAAGCCAATATTTGAATGCAGGCCAGTTTAATTGTTCCTACAACTTTGAATCGCCAGTTGACCCCCTTTCCCATTTAAGATCCTAAAGGTGACCCGTCCCGGGGTTGAAACAAGAAGGCTAAAAATATTAACTTAAAGGGTCCTCTTACAAATAAAATTGACGCGTCTTTCCGATTTTTCATATTTTCAACTGCAAGAAAGATATTAAGGGTGGGAAGTTTTTAAATTGACACCCAGTATATCAAAAATGCAAACTTCAAAATATGATTTATATTCAACGATATCCACAGAAACACGGCAAATTTTCCAATTGATTAATTGTGGGTCGTTATTGTACGCATTGATTAAAAGTTAATCATTTGTAAAAGTTTAATGAGCGGTTTTTAATGCAATTTGCCTATGTCAAAATGAACCGAACCATTATATCTATTATAATGCAAAATTTAAAACACAGTTATAACTAGTACTTAGCATGATTGATCGATCTAAACGGTTAGGGAATAAGTTAAATTATTGAGAAATTACGTTCCGATTAAAAGCCGAATAAAACATTTTTTTTGAATTTCTTCTAAAAATGTATGTCTGTAAAAAATCTGACCAGTATGTATTAACAAGAAAAGTATAATGACTTTAGTTAATCCGTAAAGGAATTAATTAATACGTTGAAATGACAAGTCGTGATTTCTATATTTTATTTTGAAAAGGTACTTTTGCCGCTACTTGATAAAGCAAATACGCAAAAAATAGGTCAAAATGATCTCTCAGGTCCGAACACATTTATGTAGTATTCATATCAGATGGTTATTCTACTTTGGTATCTGTTTCAGATTCAATATTAAATATTTTAAATAATATAATTAATACATAATTTAAATAATATAAATAATAATATAATTAAATAATAAAACTTTTACATCTTGGGAACATTTTAATTATGAATAAACGTCTATATTGATATCTCAAAAGAAATATACAGTGTGGGTTATATTGCAAAGAAAATTCGAGTTTGATTCACCCTGTATATAGGTCCCACAATTTATTTTTCCCATATGTGGTTTTTAGGGGATTCTGTTAAGTACGGAATAAATTAAATAAAACCTAGGGCAAACGTTTTTGAATAAATCGCTCGCAAGTTCTGCTGAGAAATGAAAATAAGCAAGATGGTTTCAAAAAATACATACGCAAATATGCCTGGGTATTAGCAGTATGTTAGTTTGCACAGCTTTTGAGGTATCTGTGTTTGAAATTGTGCATAGGATTGTAGGATACTCTCAATTTAGATTTAAATATGGGTTATTAGTTATTTTATGTTGACCTTCCTCGGAATGCGAGTTCTTTTTTACACGCATATAATGGCAAATTTTTCAGGGTATAGCAAATACCTATTTACCCAAATTTAATTATCAGAGTCAGAACTGATCTTGGCGTTCTGTACCATAGTTTCGTCCGTATGTTAAGCTAAACCTTGAAATTTTCGAAATTGACGATCTGAAACAAAGCAATCTGGTTTTGGACAGAAAATCTTTACATAACTATTATTGCAGGTGCAGATTCGAATGCCTGTAGATAATGAATACATAGTTTGCGTTTTAACTCAAACCTGTTTAAATCCTAGCGAATCGATTATAAACTAGTCTTTACAATATTTCGGTTCTTTTTCATAATTTATCTGCTTTTCAGTTATTACACTGATATTGCCAATATGGAAAAGATAGTTGACACAGTTTCTGGTCTTTTAAATCGAAAGTGCATTCTATTGACAGATGTCGACATTTACAATTTTTGTTTCATTTAATTTATTTCCAACTATGTCATCTATAGTTGCGAGTACTTATGGTTGTGTTTATTTCAGATCTGCCTTCACTTGAACATTCTAGTACCCTACTAAAGCTAGCATGGAAAGTGTTCAAACCAGGTCTACTCTTGCTAATAGAAACTAAAATCTCTTTAGTGTACCAGTAGCACCACTACATACCAATTTGACGGACGTGGTCCAGAACCCAACAAAGAGCTGAATAAAAGGTTCTGCTTATGGGCGTTAAATTAATAAAGTTTAAACTTCGTTTTTTTTTTAATTTAAATCATTTTAAAATATATACGTTGATTTTTTTAATTTTAAAATTGTTAGCATCAATTTATAGAATAGAGTAGAAACGTTGAATATTCAAAGTGAAAAAAGGGACAAAAACCAGCGAGGTAAATGCAGCCAATGTACCTTGAACTTTATACGAATTCAAGGATTCGGAAACCATATTTTATAAAAGCAGGGCGAGTATTTGATAAAATCACAAGAAAATAGTTGTTTACCTGTTAACTTCAACAACGGGAAAATCTAGAAAAACCTGATATTTTAATGTTATACTAATACCATACTTGCGTCTCCGAAATTGAATTTAAGAATCCCGCTTTGGAATTTTACAAATTATAACATATGCAGTCCTCTTAAGAATGAATCGACAATGCACATTAAAGTGAACATGTTTGGACGACGATTGTAAAGACTAGAATATTTGCGAATCTTTCGTTTGTATGAGTCTATGAACTGACCCGGTAAAGTAATATGAAATCAGGCAGCAGTTGGTGTTGAATTTTGAAAGATTTAATGTGTAAGAAACATTAGTATAGAGTATAATGGCAACGCGAATCTTAAACTAAATTAGCAAAGGTATACAGGGTGTTCCCTCCCTGTATATTATATACATACCGGGTGATTCAAAATTGACGTCATTCCTCTGGAAGTGTTGTCTGGGGGTGTTTTAGGAGTACAGGAAAAAGAGTAAAACAATTAATTCGTATTAACAACTGAAATGTTTGCAAAAATTAGATCCGAAAGATAGCAACAACGTTTTTCAAAGGAATCTGCCTAATTATTATTACGTGAATGTTACTTTATTAGAAATTGTAGTAACCATACGAAGTAGAAATTCGATATTCAACTGTTAAAATCTTTTAGAAATTTTCGAAAAATGTTTTTTCTTTATTTTTGTCGTAGGTACTCTCTAAGTGAGTCCCTATAGCCACTTCAAAGGAATGACAGCGATTTTGAATCAGCCTGTATATTATTACTACATATTGCTGAGTCCATTCTCAGATAAAACCTGCATGTAAACGTTTACGTAATCTAATCAACGAGTATCATATGATTTTGGACATCTTTGCCTAATCGAGTACACTTTTTCAATGCCTCAAAATTATTTTTTTGGAATGGAAGCAATTTTATTTTCACCAAGCGCATCTATACCGGTACCCCAAAACGATACAACACTCTGCTTTCTCTTAAAATAAAATTAATTTTTAAATTGACATTCGTTTTACAGCAAATTGGATATCTTCATTTTATACGCAACGCATGATTTTGGCTTAAAAAATATAAATTATTTTACTTCCGGATCAAATTGCTGAATGTGATAGGATTGTTGTGTCGAAATCGCGACAATAAAATCGACTGCAAGAAAATTAAGAACAAACTTGCTTAAAAATATATGGTAATTTTAAAAATTATTTTTTCTCGTCAGACGTATGATGTCACACGTGAATTTTGTATAGTTAGGAGAAAATCCGAATTATATAACCGAAATCTATTTTCGGGAACAATTTTCGGTTATAATATGAGTAGGTATTAGTAATAATCTTAGACTCTACCAGAACGCCTTCGAGAGCGATCTTATTTACGTTTTCTCGAAGAAAAACTATCTGGGTTGCTTGAAGATGTACGAATTGCATTTAGACATGGAATCTGGTACACATGCTCCTGCTGATTTCCGTTATGTAAGTTTCCAAAATCATTTACATACAGATTACCCTGCTTTTTGAAGTGGTAGCGGCAAACCCCGTCGAGTCCCAAGTTAACCGGCGAGTCCCAAGTTAACATTACGTGAAGGCTCCCAACTCCAAAAATTTTTATAGTCAATGTTAGAGTTGTTAATAATTAATACATTCTAGCGATTCATGTAAACCTCCTATCTTAAAAGGAAGTTAAACTCGTTTTTCTGTTTGTTGTTTGTTGTTGAAATCCCTTCTAAAATTCTAATATGGTGTGTGTTGATTGACCTTTGAAGCGTGTTTTTTTGCGTACATATCCAGTAGGTACATAACCCGTCAGAACGCCACCCTCATGAATCATTGAAGATGTGTACTAAATTTTTTTAAGATATCTGTGGTAATATCACGGTTGTTATAAAAAAAGACCTATTTTCGTCCGGAATCTTTGCACCCTGTATTGCGAAGTTTAGAACGTTTACAACACAGAAACATAATTAATGAGAAAATAAGGGATAGAAAAATAGTCTCTTAAAATATTAGCTTGCTGGTTAGGAACATATTGAATATTTGATTCTCAGAATATATACTGATCAAACAATTAGCCCTTGCATCCCATTTTAGACAATTTTAAACCCATTTCGTCTGTTCGTGCTGTTATTTTATTTTAACTTATGGAGTTGAGGATGCTCACAGGTTCGCAACGGTATCAATTGTGCATTAAATGACGAGTGAGTTGTTTTCCATATCCTTTGTATCACCCATTAGTACACTAAACGTTTTATTTTCTGTAATGTAGAGGCTCTGATGATGACTGAATAAGTCGAAAGCGCTAGACTGAATGTACCTCGAAAGGCTTGAAAAAGTCCGTTAATTACGCGCTTCAATACAAAAAAAGAGCGATTTTTCAATGGTATAATTAGTAGCTTTAACAAATATTTATTTCAATGTGCAACTAATCATCTGAAATCTAAACATAAAAATAAGCTTGCATAGTTAAATGGAAAGACTAATATGTGAAAACAGAACACTCGGTCATGGTTACTTTTCCGCAGCTATAGCTTTCCGCTTGTTATAAAACCAATTTAATTGAGGCATTTATAATAATTACGGTCTAAGTCTTAAAAAAAAGCATAACTTATAATCAATACATTGACTTATGAAGCTAAAGTTTTACCTCATAATATATGGTGAAAACAGACATTTTTTATTTGTATATGCTGCTAAATTAATTAAAATAATGTTGATACTCCATGTGACATTTACCCATTCGAAGAAAACGTGCGAATTTTTATGCAATTGGATTAATTTGTCAACTGAAATACATTACCATATTTGACTAAGTAAGTAATTTTCTAGTGCTTGTGACACCATTTATAAAAACCATAAATTATAAGCATTTATTGTTTCTCTGCCAAAGAGAAAGTAAAACATACATTTCTTGTAGTCGGTCGAAATATTGAAAATTTTGTATCGCCAGACAAATTTCATGTATGTAATTATACATTACGTTCACTCATAAATTGCTTTCCGATTACTGCAAACTTAGAATTGCAATTATAAAATTTAATTTAGTAAATTTAAACACTTAATAACATAATTATTTTTTATTAAGGAGGATGTATATCGTTGTACAATTTTTTTATTAAATGTAACACAAGCGCCATGTAAAACAGGTCTGAATTTGAACCACATTTGGCGTCATAATGAGAACGATCAATTTAACCTTTTAGCACTCATGCATTGAAAATATACATACAATGAATTTTGTTTATGAAATCAGCCAGCCATCCTTCGATCTAGATTGATGACACTAATCTACAAGTTAATAAGTGGTGTGCTATTTGAAGTCTTTGTTTAGTACCTGTTGTTTTGAACAAATTTGTATACTCGAATAAGCTTAATAGATGTTAAAAATTAGGGCGCTTTTTTGTGGCAATCTTAATTTAGACTCAAAATTAAAAGTCAGGAAATCTCTATAATCTAGTTCAATTCAGATTTTTATTTCAAATGTATCAAGTAAGTGCCAAGAACACTTGAAATGAGGATAAATGTTATATCAAAACAATCCTAGTATCTAATCGAAAATTAAATAGCCACTCACGTTGGGTGACAAACTAATAATGCCTGCTTATCACTATAATATAATAAATGTTTTGAAATAGTTACTTCTACTTCGACATAATATAAAATTATTACCAATACCACGTAGGTCAGATCAGAATTTCTTTTATAATTTAACAAAGTTCTCTTAATTCCAGGAGGGTTTTTTTAAAGGAATATTATGTGTGGAAATTAATGATCGACTTCCAAAAGCTGTGTTATGTCCGTAATATATTAAACATTATTCCTTATATTATCAAAATGTTTTAAGGAATATTAATTAAGTTAAATAAAAAGTGAATTTTCTTTGAGTGATGAAAAATATGTCAATTTTTCTAATGAAAGCCACAACTTACCTTTGTCTTGCCTAACAGTCAGTAATAAACTATTAAATTCAATATCCAGTGCTTTGCACACATGCAAAGAATCTATGGGTCCTTTTTCCATTTTGCTAGCAGAAACGACAAACTGAATTTAACTTTATCATGTAACTGAGATGTTCATGGTTTAAATACACGAACAATTTGTAGATAAAACACGTTCACACTGAATGTTACCGGGAAAAATAAATCCAGAAAATTGTTCAACCGAATTACTTTCATCGGAAGGTTCGAAAACCAAATGCGGATTTTATGGAATTGCCGAACTTCTATATTTTAAACGATGCCACCAGTTCATCGGCGCATTCGTGTCCGCTAATGGTCAATGTTAACAGCCTCGCAAAAGGATAAACGCAAAATGTTTGGCCGAAATTGTTGACTAACCCATCATTCTAAGAGATACTGATATTTCATTCAATCAAGCCATACATATATGTGATGGGTGGTTAACCTCTTTTACTCTTACTCAAAAAATATCGAAATATTAATCCATTTGGAAGAAAAAGCTACAAAGAAAAATACACAATTCTTAATAGAGAACCGAAATAAAATATGCAGAGTGCAGAGGAAAAAACACGGTTTTTTTTAAGGAGAATTTAACAAAATAATCAAATAAAACATACAGTAGATACATATTTTCATTACAGGGCCTAAGCAGCAATTATGAAGGCAATGATCTCAGATACTGGCCATTAATTGCGTGAAAATTACGGTCAATTTTCATGAAAGCTTGTAATTGATAATTCCAGGCGTTGGAACCAATGGAATTTGTCCAACAGAGTTTACCGAAAATTACTTTGTTAATTGACCAGTATTTAAATATTTCCCAAACGTTATCAATTATAAATCGATTTAAATGTATTACATCCACAAAGTTGTCAAAATATTTTTTGTTGATTATTTTAATTTCGTTAATTAAGTCAATCGCTTTTTCGATTTTAATTTTTAAATCTAGTGATCTAATAGTTTTTTATTATACGCATATACAGAGTGACCTCAACTAATGGGACAAAATTGACTGACATATAGTCTAGACAAAAGTATTGCGTTTGAAGCAAATTCGTTACTTGTTATTGTTGTTGTTGTCTTGTCTGAAAGTTAATAGTTTCCGAGAAACAGGGCGTTAAAGAGTAAATAAAATGTTCGCTTATTTTCAATAGATTCATAACCAGTTTTACTATGACCATAAAAATTTGTCTTTAGGAGTGTTTTAGAACGGCAAATTCAAAGTTCCCATTACCTAGCTTGTAGATCTGAGAGGGCGCCAGCTGCAATAGTCTGGAGCCATTTAAAACACCAGATATTTTTTGGGTTTTAAAACACCGCATTTTTGTTGGCCTTATTTCGTTCTACGATATTTTCTAAACAAAAAATGTGTACTTGGTTCAAGACGATATCTCTCACAGTTTGCGAGATTTTTTAAATATTTACCACATTTTTTCGAAATTATGATTTCTTATAGGCATTCGCAAGTCTAAACAGTTGAGTGATGTAAATTGTGTGCATTGGCAAAATCTTAAAACTGTTTTTATACATAGCACTAATGTAATATTTAAGCTGAAGCGGTTTTGAAAAACAGTATTTTTCTCACGGAAATGAAAAGTTTTCAGTTTATGCTAATCCCACATACTAATACTTTTCCCACATAATTGTCATATTTTTGCATCTAGTGAAGCTAAACGATGAATTATTTTTAACTTTCACTTTTCTCAAGAAAGAATTTACCCATAGAGGATAATCCATGTTATCAACGCAACTGTTTACAGTTAATCGAAAACAAAAGCTTGAAAAATCCCTAATATTTATATGATTAATAATTTAATATTATAAACATTTATAAAGTGTAAAGTTCTAATAGCTAATATTAATATTACTTGTAATTATCGAGTAGACTGTTAGGCTATAGTAACAGCTGGCTTTGCGTTTGCTGAGGTTATCTTATTGCACTAATAAAATAAAAATTTTAGCTTTAGGGATTACTTAATAAAGCAGTAACCGCCTGGTTACGTAGACTGTGGTAATCTAAATTTGGTAAACTAAACCTATTATTGTAAATGGGGATTTACAACTAACATTTTGTGGGATCAAGCCATTACATAAAAAAAAATGTAATAAACGTAATAAAGTAACGAAATTTAAATTTAATACTAAAAAAATTGTGACAGGGTGGGTTCAATTCGGCATATCATATGGTACAACATACACATAGTACATCATATAGTACAACAACGTAAGATGATATGCATGTCACAGCGAAGGAAACATGCATTGAACATGATTAAATGAGGATATAATAGATAAAATTTCGTTCAATGAACACGTGGACTTTTCTCAAATTTAGAATAATAATAGAAATAATCCTAAAGCTAAATTTATTGGTTGCGTCTCCGATTTGCATTAAAACCCTATCAGAAATAAACTGAACTTTTAATAAACACTTACTTTGTGTTTGATTCAATTGCAACCGTTTATTATATAAAAGAAGACGATCTGACCTAACTTTTATTAACAAAAAATGGCTAGCTCCTCTGCCATTGATGGTCACAGTTCTTAAAAAAATTGATCTTTTTTTAAATATCGGGAGAATGGTACGATCTATTTTGGTAAAACTTGTTGTGAATTTGTTCTTATGTAAGGCTCATATTTTCAAATCATTATTTTTTCGGTTTCAAATCATTATTTTTTCGGTTTCAAATCATTTTGGGCTCTTGGTAAAATCTTATAGCATTCATAGTTTTTTCGAAAAAAAAAAATTTTGTTTCCTTGCCACTTAACAATGTTAGATATTAACTGCAAATATCGCGAAATGAGGCATAAATTAATTGTCAATCAATCTCACAAATTATTTCGAATAGCCTTTTCTAATGAAGAAGTGATCGACATGGTCAAAATATTAGGGTTTAGCGAAGACAACTTGCGTGAACGCGTACGCGTTTACCCGGCGGATATTTGCAGTTAATGTATAATATTGTTAAGTGGCAAGAAAACAGATATATTTTTGATGTGCAAAAACTGTGAATGGTTCAACATTTTACAAAGAGCTCAAAATTGTGGACAAATTATTAGTGCATCAATAAAAAAAAATGAGTTGAACAAGTTGAAGAACAAATTCACAGCGAGTTTCACCAAAATACATCGCACCATTCTCCCGGTATTTCAAAAAAGATCAATTTTTTGAAGAACTTTGACCATCAATAGCAGAGTAGCCAGATATTTTTTGTTAATAAAAGTTAGGTCAGATCGTCTTCTTTTGGTCCAAAGAACATCGAAGTACCCTTTTGATCATGAGCTTACGGGACACCCTGTATATACCAGTTCTACCCATTATACGTCTTGCAGTAGGTAAGGAAATTAATTGGTGAACTGTTGTAGAAGCAGAGAGAAAGCAGACTCTAACTCTGGGTATGTTTATTTTAATAGATTTTGGGATTAGCATATAGAGACGAAACTTAAAGACTTTTCAGAGACGAAAAAACCTTTCGTTTTTTTATAAGTAAGAATTGTCTGAGTAACACAGTATTTAAAAAATAGTGCAAGCATCACATGAAGCAGACTTTAAACAAAGTTATTAAATGAATTAGCGTACGCTGAACCGTATTTATTGACCCAGTATGTTTAACGTATATGCAAAGTAAATCAATATACAAAACCACCAATTATAATGAAAATAAAAACGAGGAACGCAAGATCGAAACCGAAAATCAGAAAACAAATTTTGCGATGATTGTGATTTTATTAATTATCACTTGCTTCTCAAGGCGCGTGTGGATAATTTCTTGCGTGCAAATACTGTGAATTTCCTGACTCGTTAAATGTATAGCCAATCCCGTTTTTTTAATTGTAGTAACGGCACAAGCTAATATAAATTGATTTTTAAGCATGGCATTAGTTACTAAATTAGTGGCGACATGTTACGGAACAGATTGGACAATGCGTACGCACACGCGGAGAAAAACATTTTTATAAAAACTAATTTTGGAATATTTGGAAACAACTTGTTTTAGAATAAGAAGCAATTTGCTTCTGCACTGATTACTTCTCACATCCTTTAAGCTACTTACGAGTATATTGTGCACGAATCAAATACACAATTCAATAATTTAATATGCATTTGAACTGGTCTATGACCTTTTTATCGCTTAGAACGCAGAGAAAAAAACGCGCATATTAAGACTGTAAAACAAACAAAATTCGACATTGAGCTATTAATTCGATGACATTGAACTATTCGATTTTAAAAGAAAAAAATTAATATTGCTCCGATTATTGTTTTTAGTTCAAAATATATTTATATAACGTGATCTCAATTTGTATACGGTTTTACAGCGTGACCGGAAATATTCAAAAGGGGTTTTCAATTTAAAAAAATGAATGAATGAACATGAAGATGAAAAAATGAAGAGAACTTTATTAAAAATGTCCTAGACTGTGGGAGAATGTTAAACAATATTTTTTCTTTCGCCATCTCCGTAAAACTCTACTTGTTCTAAAGCAACGCAAACTATTGTTGCACGACTCTACAACTCGTCTCGTGTATAATTGTAAAACTATGGATATGAATGATCAATTAATTATTGCAACAATACTGGAACTAGGACCAGACTCAGGGCAACAGAATGTTTCTAATATTAACGCTATTTATAGGGCTTTTACAAAATAACGCTTCCGTTAGCTAATCTAATCATCATCATAGTACAATACAAAAACAATACTGCTTAAACGTTGCAAAAAGCGATAAAAAAATTAAAATAAATGAGATGAAAATGGATTCCTAAATGTTTTATTTCATAGTAACAATTTTCATTAGTATAAATAATAAAAATAGTAAATGCTATTTGAAAGTATGTTTTTCAGAACACCTTGCCAGACGTACTGAACAAGATACAGAGGAACAAAAAACCGTAATACTTGGAGACTTTAATGCGAGAGTGAAAATAATAACATAGACAATATCAAACAACAATTCAATGAAGAAATAAAAAATCGAAACGGAGAACATCTTATCGAAATTTGCTCTCAAAATATATTTTAAGAATAAACATAACCTTTTTTTCCATTAACCTAAGAACACGTAGCAAAATACACAGCGTGAGCATTCAACAATAGATTACATAATAATCAACAGAGAAATTGTACGTAAATAAATTCTTGACCTAAGAACCTTGACATCGCGCAATATAGGGTTAGATCATAAATTAGAGCTGAACAAAATTTTAGTCAAGATCGCAGCTAACAAGAAAAAGACCGCCAATTAAGCCGAAAAGTTAAACATAGAGTCCAAAAGCCAAAAGAGCACGTCTGTGTCAGCAAAGCCCAGGGGTCTATATACAAGGTGA